AAATAAATGTGGCGGATAACGATTTTGATGCATATCAATGTTTATGGTCAAATGGTAGTCAACAGTGTGGAGATGTTTGTCAGGCCGTGCCCGGCAGTGTGTTGAATACAACATCATGCATACTTCGTTTTAAACCGATGAGTATCGGGTTTTATGCTGTTGCAATAACAGTCGTCGATTTTGAGACATCGGAAAGTATTCAGCCATTATCACGTGTACCTATTCAATTTCTACTTCACATCTGGGATTCAACGACCAATCTGTGCAATACCCCACCACTTTATCTTGGCGATGTTTCGCCCGATGAATGTATTTTTGTTGCTCCTGGACAAAATCTAAGTGTACTCCTGCGAATTCAAGTTAAATGTGCAAATTCAACACTCTCTAACATTATTGGAGTTTATCCTCAAGGTTTTTCGCAATCATCCATTTATCAGGATCCGTATGACAAAACAATCAACATATTTATGGTGAATTACTCAGCAAGTGCCAGTCAAGTTGGACAGAATTTGTTTTGTTTTGCCGGCGTTGATTCAATCGGAAATCAAGCAGACTCGACATGTCTACGATTTACTGTCCAAGTGCCATTATCGAGTCTGAATACGTTGTATTTTAAAAATGCTACACGCTTTCCAACTGGTACAGTGTCTAAATATCAGTCAAATTGGACGTTATTATATCCGTCTAATACGACGTACGTACGGCCAACAACGGAGGCACTTATTCGCTTCAAGTTATTATCAACTCAGCAAGATTATTTCACGCTAAATGTTGTAACTCAACCGAGTAATGTACTCTATCTATCTGATAGACTCCTCATGTACACCACGACTTTGTTTTTGCCTGGTCAAAATTATTGTATAATATTCGATCCAGGAGTATTTTTACCAATTGCAACATGTTTTAGAGATTCAATGGGAATTACAGACACATCATTTTGGACAATTAATATTCCAGCGGAAGCTCCAACAACGCTAATAACCACAACGACAACAGTATCTAGTACAACGACATTAAAAATTCGAACGGTGAGTAGAACATGTGGATTGACTAAATTGACTCTCATTTATTTTCCCTTTGAAGGCTCCAATAATGAGAACAATTTCTTATATCGAATCGACTACTTCAACACTACTAATCACCACTACTCAACTGACTACGTCTTTTTCAATGACGACAGAGAGAACTATCATGATCTCCACATCATTTCCAGTCAGTGGAATCATCAGCTTGTTAATAGGTAGTCTCGTCTTACTATTCATTCTCAGTCTAATAATTTTCAAACTTATCAGTTATCTCAACTATTTATGTATCCGGTCGGTAATTAAGACGTTCTTTAAGCAGACTGACATAGTTGATGAAAAGGAAGAAGGAAAGACTACCAGTCGTTTGTTATACGCTCGTCGTAGCATCGCAGCTGTTGTTCAACACTACCGTTTAGCGACTCGAAACAATCGATCCAAGTCAAAAAGATATGAAAGGACTGATAAAGACAGTCCAACA